GGATTGTTGATGGTACGAAAACGGGTAACTGAAGTCACTCAGAAGAAAAAAGTAGGAGTTTTGTTTTGAGTTTTTGAATATCTCAGTAACGGTCTGAACTCAAAATTTTTCTAGGAAACTTTGAGCATGGTTTTTTTATAAGCTTTCAGAAGAACAAACATTGTGACAAATTTAGTCATTCTCTATTATTAAGTTACCTATTGTTAAATACAATTTTTGTTTTCAGCAATGCCGAAGAAACGAAGAATGAAAAGAGGCAGATTAACCAAAATAAAAACAAGAATAAAAAGCATGTGTCAATCATTGAAGTTGTAACCATAGATGATGAAGACGAAACAACAGAAGAAGCGAAAACAGCGGAAACGTAAACCAGACCTTGAGTTGATAAAGAAAAGAAAATATGTTGTGCTTCACAGGACTTCAGTCGAGAGTATTTAAGAGTGGATTATTTAAACAAGCTATAAATTTTTATTGGTTATTTTATAAAATTTCCTGTTATTTTATATTTTATTTACCTACAGGGTATTTTTTACATTAGGTCCAAGATTTAGGTAGAATGATTAAGAGAGATATTTTCATTTAATATTTGGGTACTTAATTTCTCTAAATTAAAATAATTTTGGTAAAAAAAAAACAATCAGTTATGCTGTGTATTGTAGCATTTGATTATTTAAAAAGATTTCTTAGTAATATTTTTCTAGGTTTTTTTATTGTATAAAATTCTAAAAGAGGAATAAGTATCTTTCCTCTATACTGCAAAATTTAAATAACTTTGCAGGACAGATATGTTGGAAGTTGAATATAATATTATATTATGATGTAAATAAAGACAATTTTTACTTAATTCAATAAGTACTACAGACATGCTGTACAAAGATGTATAATTGAAGTAGAGATTTGAGTGTTAAATAAATGTCATTTGTGATATTTATGCTTTTGGTTCTTGGAAGGCTGTAACAAGCTTCCTCATCCCTATAATCCATTTACAACTTGTTGGATTTAAGAGTCCTTGGAGGCTAGCGGCCATCTTGGATAATTTCAAACAGCTGCTGAAGAGCCCAAATATTTTTTCAAACCCCAAGAGTGATTATAATTTAAATATCTAGTATACTGTGAGATTAGAAATGTTGTGTAAAGTTTGTAAGGCACTCGCAAAGGCTCGATGTTAAATTTTCTACTCGTGTCGTTAACACTATCTTTATGCGATCGTTGCGTAACCTGCTATATAAACTCCATGATTACCTTACAGGGTGTAGTCTATTGACTTCGCTATTGTGGCAACAGTTTATTTTAATTTTAAGGTAACTAAACGCTTTCACAATTTGGCAATTAGCATAACAGAGGGTTTGACAGTTCCCTTTTAAACAAATAACCTTAAAAACTCATCTGGCGTAGTTATAACATACACAGAATGAAACCTTGTTTAAATCAGATCTGAACAATACATTTTGCGGAGATATAAACCCTGGGTTGAATCAGTATGGCATTTCAATGGAAATAAAATAACCGGTATCAGTAATCTGACACTTAACGTCTCCCATTAGCTTGCCTACAACCCTTATCATGGGCAAGCAGTGGGAGAAAGTATGGTATTTTATGGCTAGAATCACACAAGTAGCAATAACTCTTGAACCGTAATTTTTACAGCAATGGTGGCTATACCACTGTTTAGAATAAATCACTTAAAAACCTCTTTTTTGGGTTCAGGGGGACCCAAAATAAATATATCCATCCAAAACTTAAAACTCGTAAATTTTTACAAAAACAATACTTTCTCCATTTACTATGTCTAGGAGGAGAAAGTAAACGGGTATAAAAACCTGATACTGATAAATTTATAAAACATTTGCTAAGACAATATAGTTTTTAAATTTTGCACGACATTAATACATGAAGATTTAGATGTTATTCACGAAAAATAAAGCTATATGCAAAAAAGGAAAGAACAAAAGATCATATAAACATTTTATTTAAAAATAATACAATAGTATCAAAGTATGTAAAAAAGTTATAAAATATATTATATAACTTAGAGAGCAATTACAGTAAGGTTACATGGTTGTATGATGTAAACAACAACTAATAGTGTCATAGGAACAAACTTAACAAGGATTGTCGTGTCTAAATATTTATAGGATCGTCACGGCCGCGAATTCGCCGCGCAAGTTGCATGTCCTTGGCCATTAGTGTGACGCGCCGCGCGTGGATCGCACACAACATTGAGTCTTCGAAGAACTGAGTCATGTACAGCTCAGCAAACTCCTGCAGAGCTTCTAGTGCCAACGTCTGAATCCTGAAATATAATTCAACCATGGTCAATAAAATGTAGGACTTAAGGCTGATTAATTGTTATTCATTTTGAAAATACATCTCTTCAATGAATAGTTGACTGTAATATAAAACAAACCATAATGACATACGTTAGGTTAAAAAAAATACAGCCTGAAAATACAACAAACAAATTGTTGCCTAAAATAAGTCATATCTCTTCTACTTCTAGACAGATAATGGTAATAAGTGCCTTATGTTGACACAAGTTAATTTTTATGGTCACCACTCACATCCATGTTGTATCCGAAAATTGTATTTTTAGCAAAGTGATTTCTCTCCTTTACCGCCTAAATACACCCTTTCTTGACTAAAGATTTTAAAAGAAAAGATCAATGAATTTAGTGTGAAGTGATATATTGTTGGCTATGTTGGCAAAAGTTCATATTTTTTATATGATTCACCATGATGTATAAGAATGGCAATGATTTTTTTGTATAAAAAAGTAGAACTGTGACTTAACATTTCAGTGGTTTTTTAACTTAAGAGTGGGATTAAAGATCAAATTAACAACCTTCCGAGTGATAAGTGTTGTGAGGATAGATTTGCAACTACTGAGCTAAACAGTTACAAAGATAACTCGTCCTAGCAGAGGACTTGCTCTATAAAGAATTGTCAGTGTTATGCTGTGCTCTTTTGTGTATACAAGCCTCTGGATTTAATTTTCTCAAGTAAGCTATCTGAATAGAATCATTCCCAAAAAAAATTAAATTATTACTTTTATTATAAACCCAGCACTGTTTAAGTTTTTTCATATAAAGCCCCTGGCTTTGTTTAACTAAACCTCTACGGCCAAACCATTTTAACGGTTAAACTTACCTCAACGGTTCACTACCATAAGGGTTCATCTCCATGATGATTTCCTTTACTAGCCGCATGAATGGCAGTTTAGGGATTAACAGCTTCGTTGACTTTTGAAGCGCTCTGATTTCCATTAATGCTCGAGTGCCAGGTCTGAATTTTCTCTTTTCTGCAACCATCTGAAATGAATAAAACAGAATTTCGTAATAATGGTGTAGTTATTTTATGAAATGAAAAATTTTAAGTTTTTTTTAGTTTATTACAACAAGGTAACTAGGTGCACAATTCTAAGGCTCATTTAGTGACAAATATAACAAAATCAGGTAAACTTAATTTTTAAAAAAATTGAGTTTTTTAGACATTTGGGTCAATATTTTTGTTTCTCAACCACTAACAACTTTTCAACAAAATACGTTTTATTCGTAATAAAAAAAATAAATCCTCTTGAGTTTCAAAGAAAAAAAACACTCATCATGAAAGGAAGGGATTTTTCAATTTCCACATAATAAATCAATAAGGGCCATACAATATAATAATACTAAATTAATCCAATAGACAAAACAGGTACTAATTAGATTCAACAATTCATGAAATATTTGTAGAGAAAATCCTAAAAAAATACAGGGTTATTCTAAATGATGGACCCATTTTTAATGCTTTATAATTTTTATACTATTAAACTTACCGTTATAAAATACACATCAAACCAAAAAGCAACTCAAAGAGTTTATGCCGTCCAAAGACACATCATTTAACAATAACGATCCAACAGAACTGTAGATTTAATTGTACAAAGTTAAAAAGTAATCTCCAACTTTTTTTACCACTAGGAATTTGGAGGTTACTTGACGTTTTTGCAAATAACATTTAAATGGTGAGGAAATCGACCAAAAGTGGAAGGTATTATTCCGAAAAGAATGAAATTGCCTACAATCTACTATTATGCATTTTTTGAAAATACTCAAGAAAGGTACCAAAAATTGCCTCAAAATTAAAAAAAAAAAAAAAATTGAAAATCCCCGTCTTCAATTGTAGACAATAAACATAGCAAACATTAAATTTCACACTTTTTTATTTTAAACCAAATTTAGGCTACATTTATTGAGTATTTTCAAGATATGCGTAATAGTAGATTGTAGGAAATTTTCTTTTCTTACGGAATATTACTTTGGTCGATTTCCTCACCATTTAAAAGTTATTTGCAAAAACGTCAAGTAACCTCCAAATTTCTAGTGGTAAAAAAAGTTGGAGATTACTTTTTAACTTTGTACAATTAAATCTACAGTTCTGTTGGATCGATATTGTTAAATGATGTGTCTTTGGAAGGCATAAACTCTTTGAGTTGCTTTTTGGTTTGATGTGTATTTTATAGCGGTAAGATTAATAGTATAAAAATTATAAAGCATTAAAAATGGGTCCATCATTTAGAATAACCCTATATAAAGGTGTGACAGGAATAAAAAGTTTTAAGCCTAAACCTCTGCCTGTGAAACTTGCTAAATATATAAATGAATTTTTTTAAATAAATAAGTTAACTTTAAAACGAGAACATTTTAACTAAACAAAATTACATTTGTGTTTAGTAAGTATAGCAGTAAAAAAATTCTAAATACATAGCTAAATTTTGAGTGTAAAAACAAAATGTGATTGCGATTAACCTTCACGATTGAATTCTCAACTTTCGATTCGGTAAGATGAAAAGCAATGTCGGCAAGGTCCCGAGGCCAATGTTGAACAGCTATTTCCATCCATCAGCTGATATTCGATTCATACCTTCTGGCACAATAGGTCTGCAATCATGGTTGCTTGCCAAAACTCCTACAGTATTTGACTGTCTGTCTGGTCGCGTGTTTTGATTGGCCACCGAGTGATTTTCCTAGTTTTGAAATTTAGAAACATAACTTGTAGTCGTTACTGTAGCCCGTCTGTCAGCATTGAAATTAAAGTGTTATAGGCAAATTGAGTGAGTTTCCATTGTAATAACAAGTAAACTAAGTGCAAATAAACATAGTGAAGATAATTTTTTTTTATTTTCACTTGTGTGTTTTTAAGCAATTTTTTATCAAATTTAATATTTATAAATATTTATTAAATTGTTGTGTACTATTATCGTATATTATTATTGTATATTATTTAATTATTGTATAGGCCTAATGTTATAGTTATAAATATTAAATTTGGTTAACATTTGCTGAAAAACTTTTGGTTGTAGGATTCCCCTGGAAAGCTTTATTTACCAAACTTAAAAATCAAAAAGTTATTAAAAAATTGAAATAATCCCAAGTTGTTATTTTTCCAAAATAATTAACTTGAGGCTATGTTGAAAAACAAATATTATAAAATAATTAATAAAACGATCTAAATGTATGTGAAAATAGCAAACTTAACATCATTACTACTAAATTACTAAGAACTACATTACCGTTACCGGTTCTAAGTATTTCCTTCATTCAAATATGCTTGGTGTAATCATCTTTTATTTTAAGAAGATTACATTTTCTTAAATGGAAGAGCAGGATATGGGATAGGCTGCAGGAAATATGTAAAATTCATTAATTAGTTTATAATATGTCTAGATAAAATAAATTCTTAGTAAAGCTTTGAAAGAACTAGTTTGCTGATTCGCTTTAAAATTTAATTGAAAATCCTATACGCTTCGAAACTTATTCATAGTGTGGTTTCTAGTGAAGTGATAAATCCAAGAACAAAAATGGAAACATGACAACATGCAACGGGAGTTACGAAATAATAAATTTAAACCAGGTAAGGATCACTAATATACTAGATACTGCTGTACCGGTATTGTAATAGGAATTAGTCATGGTCCCACAACACCACGTAGGTATAGGTTACTTACACCATAAATACAAGGGATAGTTCTTACAATAGTAAAATACCCTCGCCACAGCAAACTTGCAGACTAAGCGAATTTACATTTGCCTGAATTGATATACAATTAAATATGTTTGAAAAAACATTAATTCGGTTAAACAAGTACCTGGGTTTGCTGATACAGGGAGGCTAATAAAGTGTGTTTTTTTAGTGAAATATTAAGAGCTTTAGCTTAGTATAAAATAAATAAATTTGCCATTCTTCTCCATAAGAATAATATGGAAATTTTAAATTTACAACTTATTGAATTTTCTCCGTAACCAATAACCGCACAAAAACAAAGAGTTGCCTCATCGGAATTTTACTAAAATATTTCCATAAACAACACAAATTAATTCCCTGTTTGGATAACATTAGATTTAACGAGTACTTAGGTTCACTGTTATGGAGCAGGGGGAAAATTCAGTAAAAAAAAAAAAAAAAAAATTGGTGTAACATTGGCATTAATTAGGTCTAAGTAGCCTATTTACTTACAGATTTGGATTTATTGACCGAGCCATTTTTTGAGACCTTTGTGGATTTTTTGCCAATACTTTTTCTGGATTTTGGAGGCAATTTCTTTTTTACACTTCCTCCTAGAGAGTCGACTGAAACACCAGTCGTATCCAGAGATGTCAATGTAGAATTTGTTTTTGGGCTCTTTTCCATGAACAGTTTCTTTCTGAAATGTACATAAAATGTCATTCGCTGTTCCTAAGTTCCATATTTATTATTTACTAAGCAGATGCTTAGTATCTTTTATTTTGTAACATGAAAAGACAATAAAATGCAATCATTAGGCCTACAATAACCAAGCTAACACACAATTAATAGTTAGTGGGATGCACAATTTTCAATGTTCATTGGATGTGAAAAATAACTTAGGCTAACAAAATAGGAAAAAAAAACATGATACAATATAATAACAAATAAGCAACAGCAATCAGAAAAAAGTTAAAAATCAGTTCATCCAGTTGGTTAAAAAATTTTCAAAAAGGAGCTATCACCCGCCAGCACTTCTTTCACCATATGTGCTTGGCTCATTAAAGATTTGTAATTAAACTGAGTCAGGCTACAATTGAGCGCCAAATTATTGCCACAAGAATGTTTCCCCTCAAAATGTAAGTTCCTCACTGAAACCTACAATTTATTAAGCGAAGATATGTGACCACATTGGTCGGTTAATACAATTTAGATTACATTTTAGAACTTAATCAGCTAACTAAAACAGCTGACAATCAGTTTGGATTCAGTTCAGTAATGAATATCCAATTGTTATTTCACTTGAAACTAGTCTAGGTACTATTTGCCTACAGGGCAGATAAAGATTAATGAGTATTTTATGGCCAAATTATTGGTCTGATGCATTTATTTATTACTTAAACGATTTTATGTTGAAATGTTACCAAAAACCTGTGTAGCCCCAAAAACACATTAGTTTGTGTTAATTTTTAATGTTTAATGATAGTAAAATGACAGCTCTAATGCCAATAAAATTAAAAATTCTCAACCTCTTTCCATGAGAGTTTTTATTGATTCAATCTGGGAACCGTCCGCCAATTTTTTTTATCATGTTTTGATTTATTTTATGTACAAAAAAGCAAAATACTGCATAAAATAAGTTAAGTTTTTGGTGGACATAGAAACATGTCTAGCCTATGTGAAAGTTCTCAAAATGTCTAATTTAAAACAACTTAGGCTACAAAGAAATATAGGCTATCTTGTCAAATAAGTTATAGCCTAACCCAGTTTGTCCATTAAGTCTTATTATAGGCACACCAACCTCAGCCAAAGACAGATTCCTCAAATAAGTTGCACATATTACTTACTTCTGTGCAAAAGTTTGCAGCCTTCAGTTTTCTTTTCCTCTAAAGAGTAACATGGAGATCTTATAGGCTAAGATACCTAGGCCTACCGTGATAATTTTCTTTGTAACCTTTAATTTTACAGCAACGCTTCAATATAGGCCTCTTCAATAATTCGTCACTTCAATAATTGTTTTTAAGCTCTTTGAACTTAAAAACCTGCGATGGCTGTTAACATTTCCATGTTTTAAGGGTAAAAATTTGAACCCAATTTTTGAAAATTGCAAAATACTCAGTTCCCATGACCCAATCTAAGTTAACTTACTTAGCTGGCTCGCCAACTCACTCAAGTTTATCCCACCCTACACCTTCAAGCCAAATTTCATCAAAATCGGACCAAAATTTACTCTAGCTAAGTAACATATCCCGTTTACAGACAAAAGCCTTACAGGTTGCAAAAATTTGATAGCCTAATCCTATCTTAGTGGTAGATAGGCCAACCGGAAGAGAGGCATAACTTAGGCTATAACTTAACTTTGGCATAGGCGTAAAAAGTTCAATTCAAGACCTTTCAAAATTGCCTGTAAGCCATCCACTTGTCTTAGTTTAGGCCTATCAATTTAGCCAAGGTAGGCCTAGTTAGCTGATGTGGGAATTGAACACATTTTCGTAACCAAACTAAATGGAAAAGTCTGACATTCAAAGTCAAGATACTAAATAAATATGGCAGCCTTTCATAATGCAATATTATGATTATTGTTGGTTTCCAACTAGGCCTAGGATATAGGTAGGTTTTATTATTATCCTAAATACTTACTTGGCTGCCACTTGTACCAACTTTTTATTCTCTAATATGAGAGAATCTGTCTTCCTTCTTACCATTTTAGATAAATACAAACGACTAAGTTTAAGGTTTACGGGAAAATATCAAGTCAATTATTAAACAAAGAACGAGGAATAGACTTTTAGGTTTTTAACGAAACGACGTTACACTTAAAATTTGAACGAACTGACTAGTGACTAACCAATTAATTGACGAATGAAGAAGTTTGTCTTAAAGTTTTCTTCTTTCCCATACAAAATGAATATGAATTCATTTGCCGCCAAAATCAAAAAACACCTTGCTTGACTAAAGATTTCCAAAGAGATTATGAAGTATGGCATACCACCAGGAAAAGATCAATGAATTTTGTGTGAAGTGAAAATATATTTTTGTATATATTAATTATTCTCAGAGTGGAGGTGTTTAGGGAAAATTTAATTTATACAAGTGTAAAAAACAATTTAAACTGTAGATCAAGCGAATTTATTTCACATTTATATCATTACAAAACATAAAATAGAATTGACCAGTAAAACCATTGACTATATATACCTACATGTATATAAGTATAAGGTATAAGGTATTTATAGTCAATGGTAAAACCTACAGCTTATAATAAATAAGCTTAATTATTTAGCCTTAATTAATTGACATGACCAATGCAAATTTTGTATTGTTATTTTGGTTCAATAAATGAGTTATGAGTTATGAGTTAAGCATTCATATAATCTTTGGTATGACCACGACCGCCTCAAAGGTGGCCGTGAGTATGACTATGTCAAATAACTGTTTACAAAAGGCAGGCATTTTCATTTGTATATTATTCACTCACTAAAAAAAACATTAATATGTAAATTATATGCCTGTAAGATGATTATTACATTTACTCGGTTCGGTTCTTTTACAACACATCCCATTCACTTTTGTAAAGGAGGTTAAGTAATCGGGAATCTTTAGGTTTGTTGGAAACATAGTTTAGTTTGTGATTGGGTTATCTGGTACTGTCATATAAAGGGGTGTGTTTCATCTATATTAGTGGATGTTGCATCGCGCCTACAAGCCAGTTTTTTTTGCTCACCGGTTAGGTGGTTTAGTACTGTAGCTTGTAAACTCGCCCTGTGTAATCGAACCTTTTAATGGTATTATAATGACGAGAATTAGTGTGAGTCAATTATTATAATAGTCTTAACTCCAGTTCGGTGTTTAAAGAGACAATTTTTCCACAATAAAGTAATACAACTAGAGTCGGGACCACATAAGTTTGCAGTTGAGGGAGGAGCCTATTTTCCATATGGGTTTGAATGAACCAATGAGAACCGTGCGGTGTTGCCAAATCTAATAATACCAGCTGATTTGAAAATATTGCTTTGTATATTTTATTAGGGCGATGTGGCAACGTTGCACTAGCCTTGTCTTGTGATTGGCTGGCACCAACTGCAAACTTATGTGGTCCCGACTCTAAATAGGTATTGACAAAGGAAAAAATAAACATCATTCCAACTAAGTTTAGAGTAGGAAACGCTGTAAAATTTTCCCCAAAAGTGGGAACACTTACCATACGGTACATTAATCCATAGATAAAACATACTCCCTTAGTTAGTCTATGATTAATCATACTAAAATTATTAGTCAAACTTGTTACAATTTTATCAATTCGCACGATTGAGGAACTGTGGTATACACACACACAGACCACTGAGGTCTATGTAGACTCATTTCCATTATATATTACATTAGTTATTATTCAAGCCGGATGAAACATTCAACTAGTATTTAAGTTTTTACTATTATAACTTTATAAATTAATTTTACTAGAATTAACTTACGTAAACAAAGTACTCATAATGCTTCAGGGCTATATATATTTGTATTTTATTTTTTTGAAAAATTGTATATTTTTTATATATTGTGGAAATAAAACTGATTTGATTTGACAATATTTTTATAGAGTCGTGCAACAATTTTAAACACGTGTTAGGGACTAATTCCCGACTAAAGCTAATTCGGGAGATAAACCTTACGGATTGTATACTGAGTATGAGTATTTCATAGCGCTCAATGCGGAAATTGTACACTAAAGACTCTGTTTCAACCCGCTAATTGCAATTCCAATTATTGTTATGGCTAATAATAATACCGTGACCGGCCGGTGGTTCAGAGGTTATTTTTCATTCTTCAAAAATAGGATCTACAGTATTACAAAAAGATTATTGATACATTTTATCTAACAAGAAAATCTCTTTTGTAGGTGAGTAGATCGGAAC